ACTTTCAAATGTTCACATCCACACATTCACCCAGGACCTGAATATTAACCAGGTTTACAATATAACACCTCATCTGTTCTAGTTTCTATGTAAACAGAGCTGTTAATTATTGGCTTTATCAAAATTTGCTCAAAAAAGACCATTAACCTGTGAGGGTGTCATGTAATGAGGTGATGGAGTTTCTAGATTTTATCACCGGTCAAACACGGAAAACGCCTCTACTGTTCATTCCTGTGGCTTTTAATTGATGTGACCTATGTGATACAAATAGCTTTAAAAAATATATAAATCATTCCACATCATGCATGATTAGAGGTCATCTGAATACTCAAATTACCATTTCTTTGTCAAAAATCATTCAGGAGAACAGCTTCTCACATGTGTGAATTGTCATGTGTCTTGTCAAAAGACTTTTTAAGAGTAAAATTTTTGCCACAAACCATGCAGGAAAAAGGTTTCTCACCAGTGTGAATTCTCATGTGCGTTGTCAAATTAATCTTTTGAGTAAAATTCTTGTTACAAATGGTGCAGGAAAAAGGCGTCTCACCTGTGTGAATTCTCATGTGAGAAGTCAAGTTACTCCTTTGAGTAAAATTCATGTTACAAACTGAACAGGAAAAAGGCTTCTCACCTGTGTGAATTCTGACATGTGTATCCAGATCAGACTTATAGGTGAAGCTTTTTCCACAGGATACACATTCAAAAGGCTTCTCACCTGCGTGCATTCTCATGTGAGAAATTAAACTACTCTTTTGAGTAAAATTCTTGTGACAAATGGTGCAGGAAAAAGGCTTCTCACCAGTGTGAATTCTCATGTGAGTAGTCAAACTACTTTTTGTGGTAAAACTTTTGTTACAAATTGTACAGGGAAAAGGCTTCTCGCCTGCGTGAATTCTTATGTGAGAAGTCAAATTACTCTTTTTAGTAAAATTTTTGTTACAAATGGTACAGGAAAAGGCCTTCTCACCTGCATGAATTCTCATGTGAGAAGTCAGATTACTCTTTTGAGTAAAGTTCTTGTTACAAATTGTACAGGAAAAAGGCTTCTCATCTGTGTGAATTCTGATGTGATTATTAAGATCATATTTAGAGGTGAAGCTTTTTCCACAGCATAGACATTCAAAACGCTTCTCACCAACGGGACTTCTGATTTGCGTAGTCACACTACTTTTTTCCGTGAAATTCTTGTCACAAATCGCACAGGAAGAAGGTTTCTCACCTGTATGAATTCTAATGTGCCCATCACTTCTAGATTTCTTTGGGAATTTTTTTCCACAGGAGAGACATTCATATATCTCCTGAACTGTGTGAGTTCTCATGTGAACCTTGAAATGTTCTTCAGATGTCAAACATGGGAAAGGTTTGTCTCCTGTAATTTCTGTCTCCTCTTTTCTCATGTGATCCAATAAATGTTCTTTTTTTGTAAAGTTTTCTCCACATGTCAAACATGAGAACGGTTTCTCTTCAATCTGCTGCTTCAGAAAAAGCTGCTCTTCATGCTCACCTATGATGAGCTCCATGGTTTCCTCTTTTATCCAGGGTTGTTCTAGTTCTTTCTGCTCTTCTTTTATCTGCAGAGGTTCTGATTCCTCTTGGTCTAAACTGGAATTCCTCTCCTGTTCATAGAGCTGCTGGTCAGAGAAATCCTCCTCTTTCCCAACATAATCCTGCAGGTGGTCTGGAAAGACAAACAGCAGAAATACTATCTATTACACATTAAAGAAAGGACACTTCATTTTTATCATCCTTTTTTTGATCTAATTACATACAAACACACTGAAACTACATCTCCCAGTATGTAAAATTTATGTTCTTATGTTGGAATAATACAAACCAGGTTTGAAGTTTGAAATTAATCTGCTCTTCATTTTTAAAGAAGAGCAGATTAACGACACTTAAGCCTTTAAGAAAAGAAGTAGCCCTTTATTTTTTTGCTGAAACATTTTTCCACAGGACAGACATTCATTAATGTTCTTACCTGTGTGAGTTCTCATGTGATCCAATAAATCTTCTTTGTTTGGAAAGTTTTCTCCACATGTCAAACATGGGAAAGATTTCTTGTCAGTCTCCTGCTTAAGAAAAAGCTGCTCTTCATGCTCACTTATGGGGAGCTCCATGGTTTCCTCTTTTGTCCAGGGATGTTCTCGTTTTTTCTGCTCTTCTTTTATCTGCAGAGGTTCTGGTTCCTCTTGGTCCAAACTGGAATTCATCCCCTGTTCATAGAGCTGCTGGTCAGAGAAATCCTCCTCTTTTCCAACATAATCCTGCCGGCGGTCTGGGAAGACAAACAGCAGAAAGACTTTCTATTAGTGGTTAAAGAAAGGACACCTGACATAAAAGCACCAAACTCTGTCCTTGAGTTTGAGGAGTGAGTGGACCTTCCTGTACACCTCTACCTGGAAGAGACGTACCCCAGCTGGATGTGTCAGAATGAGCAGCTTTTAAAAGATTTTCTAATGAAATTTGCCTGATCTATCCTATTAAAAAGAAGCATCATTGTAATGTTGTGCCATATGCCATGATCATGGTTTTTGGACTTTAGGAACCAGTGCCCATATTTCATCTTGATATGACGACCACGAGAGAAAATTATATTT